CCCTCTGTGACTTACCTGACCAGATCCATATTCCAGGAGGTTCAATGACTACTTTGATTTTTGAGCCGTGTATATTCTGTGGCGCTGTATACCTCTGTTTGCAGAGCCTCACTAGTGATCCCTTCTCCCCTCCACCTCCATGTAGTCAGCCACTCTTCCTCCAGCCCAGCTCCCTACTTCCCCATAGACCTGAATACAGCCTGTGCACTGCACCCACCTTCAGGACACGGCAGGCCGCAGCAGTACTGCGAAGCATAACGTAGGACACAGCCAATCAATTCACTGGGAATCGGAAGAGTCACCACTGCCAGAGGCAGCCATTCTTCGACAGATGAGCATTTAGTAACACAGATCCAATTTTACTGGCAATGGGCGAGCCATTCGGCTCCATAAAAAAATGGGGCTCCTGACCTGGTGGAAGTCCGGATCGTTCTCCCCGTCTGGTCGCACCTCGTCTTTTTCATCCTCTGGGTCAGAACCGCTGACGTTGAGTTCCGGTGCTGCCTCCTTCATGACCTGCAGGGAGAGGGATTTGGGTCAGAGCTCAGGAAATCCTCTGCAGATACAGAGTGATGACAGGAAGTCGCAGGTCACCTTTTTATTATCCACCACTTTATGAACATAGATGGTGGCCTGAGCGTATTCCCGCAGGTCCCGCTCCTGCTGGCAGAGCAATCCCTCCCGGCACTCCGGACAAAGCTCTACGGCAAAGAAAACACAGGAGCAGGAACCCTACAGACTGAGCGAGCATTCAACTGGAACCCTACAGGACAGAGACTGAGCGAGCATTCAACTGGAACACTACAGGACAGAGACTGAGCGAGCATTCAACTGGAACCCTACAGGACAGAGACTGAGCGAGCATTCAACTGGAACCCTACAGGACAGAGACTGAGCGAGCATTCAACTGGAACACTACAGGACAGAGACTGAGCGAGCATTCAACTGGAACACTACAGGACAGAGACTGAGCGAGCATTCAACTGGAACCCTACAGGACAGAGACTGAGCGAGCATTCAACTGGAACCCTACAGGACAGAGACTGAGCGAGCATTCAACTGGAACCCTACAGGACAGAGACTGAGCGAGCATTCAACTGGAACCCTACAGGACAGAGACTGAGCGAGCATTCAACTGGAACCCTACAGGACAGAGACTGAGCGAGCATTCACCTGGAACCCTACAGGACAGAGACTGAGCGAGCATTCAACTGGAACCCTACAGGACAGAGACTGAGCGAGCATTCAACTGGAACCCTACAGGACAGAGACTGAGCGAGCATTCAACTGGAACCCTACAGGACAGAGACTGAGCGAGCATTCAACTGGAACCCTACAGGACAGAGACTGAGCGAACCCTACAGGACAGAGAGACTGAGCGAGCATTCAACTGGAACCCTACAGGACAGAGACTGAGCGAGCATTCAACTGGAACCCTACAGGACAGAGACTGAGCGAGCATTCAACTGGAACCCTACAGGACAGAGACTGAGCGAGCATTCAACTGGAACCCTACAGGACAGAGACTGAGCGAGCATTCAACTGGAACCCTACAGGACAGCTACAGCTAGGGAAGGAGGAGGGAGCCATCTACAACGGGTGACACCATGAAGAGGGGGAGGAGGAGCCATCTACAACGGGTGACACCATGAAGAGGGGGAGGAGGAGGGAGCCATCTACAACGGGTGACACCATGAAGAGGGGGGAGGAGGAGGGAGCCATCTACAACGGGTGACACCATGAAGAGGGGAAGGAGGAGGGAGCCATCTACAACGGGTGACACCATGAAGAGGGGAAGGAGGAGGGAGCCATCTACAACGGGTGACACCATGAAGAGGGGGAGGAGGAGGGAGCCATCTACAACAGGTGACACCATGAAGAGGGGAAGGAGGAGGGAGCCATCTACAACGGGTGACACCATGAAGAGGGGGAGGAGGAGGGAGCCATCTACAACGGGTGACACCATGAAGAGGGGAAGGAAGGAGGAGGGAACCATCTGCACCGGGTGACACCATGAAGAGGGGGAGGAGGAGGGAACCATCTGCAACGGTGTGACACCATGAAGAGGGGAAGGAGGAGGGAGCCATCTACAACGGGTGACACCATGAAGAGGGGGAGGAGGAGGGAGCCATCTACAACGGGTGACACCAAGAGGGGAAGGAGGAGGGAGCCATCTACTACAACGGGTGACACCATGGTGAATCAGGGGAAGGAGGAGGGAGCCATCTACAACGGGTGACACCATGAAGAGGGGAAGGAGGAGGGAGCCATCTACAACGGGTGACACCATGAAGAGGGGAAGGAGGAGGGAGCCATCTACAACGGTGACACCATGAAGAGGGGAAGGAGGAGGGAGCCATCTACAACGGGTGACACCATGAAGAGGGGGAGGAGGAGGGAGCCATCTACAACAGGTGACACCATGAAGAGGGGGAGGAGGAGGGAACCATCTGCAACGGGTGACACCATGAAGAGGGGGAGGAGGAGGGAGACACCATGAGGAGGAGGAGGGAGCCATCTACAACAGGTGACACCATGAAGAGGGGGAGGAGGAGGGAACCATCTGCAACGGGTGACACCATGAAGAGGGGGAGAAGGAGGGAGCTGTGACGGGAGTGACTTTTGGGGGTGGGGGGGACCCCTGTATCATCTCCCCAAATCATTATGTTTAAGGCCCCCTGTGCCTGTTAAGGGGTACAGGGTGTGTATGTGAATGTCCCAGTCTTGTGTATAGTGCTGTCCTTTGTCTAGGCCACATGGCTGTCCATTGTCTGTTTGCCATGTGCTCCCCCCCATGGTGCTGTGTCTTCCTGTCCAGCCAACTATTATGGGATGTACTGTTTGTGTATTGGTGTGGGGGTTGGTCAATGTCCTTTGCCGCATGGCTGCATCCCATTGTTCTGTGTCTTGGTGGGATGGGGAGGGGTGATGAGGCGTTTCCTGCCTATACTATAGCCCTTCCCACTGACAGGGCGGGCTGATGAGGTGTTTCCTGTTCCTGGTTGTCTTTCCCCGCCCTCTGTATATATTCTGTGTTTTGTGTTAAAATAAAGAGTTGGCTTCCTGTATTAAGAAGAGCCGGGTGCTGTCTTTTTCCTGAGGGATTTCAAGGGTGTGGTCCATGGATGGTGTTCGGACAGGGGAAGCTGTGGGATAACGGAAAAACTCAAGTGCGGTCCATCTGCACCGGGTGACACCCATGAAGAGGGGGGAGGAGGAGGGAACCATCTGCACCGGTGACCCATGGAGATTACAGGAGCCATCTACAACGGGTGACACCATGAGGGAGGGAAGGAGGAGGGAGCCATCTGCACCGGTGACACCATGAAGAGGGGGAGGGAAGGAGGAGGGAACCATCTGCACCGGGTGACACCATGAAGAGGGGGAGGAGGAGGGAACCATCTGCACCGGATGACACCATGAAGAGAGGAGGAGGAGGGAGCCATCTGCACCGGGTGACACCATGAAGAGGGGGAGGAGGAGGGAGCCATCTGCACCGAGTGACATCATGAAGAGGGGAAGGATGAGGGAGCCATCTGTACTGGGTGACACCATGAAGAGGGGAAGGAGGAGGGAGCCATCTGCACCGGGTGACACCATGAAGAGGGAAGGAGGAGGGAGCCATCTGCACCGGGTGACACCATGAAGAGGGGGAGAGGAGGGGAGCCATCTGCACCAGTGACACCATGAAGAGAGGGGAAAGAGGAGGGAGCCATCTGCACCGGGTGACACCATGAAGAGGGGGAGGAGGAGGGAGCCATCTGCACCGGGTGACACCATGAAGAGGGGGGAGGATGAGGGAGCCATCTGCACCGGTGACACCATGAAGAGGGGAAGGATGAGGGAGCCATCTGCACCGGGTGACACCATGAAGAGGGGGAGGAGGAGGGAACCATCTGCACCAGATGACACCATGAAGAGAGGAAAGAGGAGGGAGCCATCTGCACCGGGTGACACCATGAAGGGGGAGGAGGAGGGGGAGCCATCTGCACCGAGTGACATCATGAAGAGGGGAAGGATGAGGGAGCCATCTGTACTGGGTGACACCATGAAGAGGGGGAAGGAGGAGGGAGCCATCTGCACCGGGTGACACCATGAAGAGGGGGAGGAGGAGGGAGCCATCTGCACCGGGTGACACCATGAAGAGGGGGAGGAGGAGGGAGCCATCTGCACTGTGTGACACCATGAAGAGGGGGAGGAGGAGGAGAACGTCTCTAAGGTGTGCAGGTGGTCAGGGCAACATGAGCACAGATTTCAGGCAATTACAGACACTTCATTCCAAACCCGATGTTGACATTTGTGAACTAGGGTGAATGGAGAGTTGGACAGCATTTGTAGGTCACAGATGAGGAGATGGCCGTACCGGGATTGGAGACGTAGACCGCGTGTTGGGCGTTCTCCTCCGTCATCACAGTCCGCCTGGTTATCCTGATGGAGTGATCCACAATGAAGAATTTCTGGATGATATCCCACTCAGAAGGCCAGAGGAGAGCTATACTGTGCAGAGGAAAGTCACTCTGTTACTCTGGCAGGCATATCACATGACGCATCCGGACAATGACACCAACATACCACCCGCGGGCCCCCTGCTGAACACGTCTATGCACCGCCTTCTCTGATGCTTGGATACATGTGATGTCACACCCAGTGTGAACATGCCCTCAGCCAATCAATGATCAGCAAAGACTCCACCTCCCAGTTCACACACGTGTACTACAACATACACCCGTGCAATGGTCATGTATGCTCACACGAGCATGCAAAGGTGTTCTGCACATCCGTGGGCAGGCAGTCCACGTCACCCGGGATGCAGTGGCTGTGCTATGCACCCACACGGGTGGGATTGGGAGCAGCAGCTGCATCCCAATTGACATGAAAGGGGCTGCCAGCATGGGGATTCACGGATCACCTGTGCATCTCTTTGCATGCAAACACGGCCCCCACATGCGTGTATGCTGTAGTACGCCTCCCCAATAGAGGGGATAAAGGGGCACTCACAGTTTGGAATCTTCTTTTGTCATGTTGGAGAAGGAGAACATGAGGCCGCCATGAGGACACAGGAGGAAGCCGTTCCCTACAGACGACACGGGGCCGCTCTTAGTAGGCCGCCTGCAGACAGAACACGTATGAAGTCACCAGCACACGCTATGTACATTCAGTTGTCTCTGTAAATGGGGGGGGGGGGGGGGGGGCTTTACCTGATGAATTTCCCTCCATTCTTCCACAAACATTTGAGACACTATATACAGTTCTGACGTCTCCTGCGAATCAATAGAAGAGGTTTACCTCCGGGACGGCTTCACGTCTTAATGACCGACCAGCAAAGGCAGGACCTACCTGAGGCCACGCCCCTCCGGTCGGCCCGGTTCTTGTCCTGGAAGAGGTTAGGAAGGGCCATCTTCTGTTCGTTCGCCATTCTTTTATGAAGAGCGTCATGCTGCTCCCCTTCTTCCTCCAGAATCTATGAGGACATGGTGTCAGTGGCTGATCACACATCATCAGGTAGAACTTTGCTATATCACATATGAATGTCAATCTCACATCTGTGGCCCTGTGAGGGGCGGAGAGGAACCCCTTGTGAACGGTCAAAGGATATTCCTTCATGCTGAACACAAGAAGAATGGCCCACCACATGGAAAGTAAATGGCCACCACCACCACACCACGGTTTAGGCCCATCCGCCATGCTGAGCTGCATTCTGCAGCGTCTGCATCCACCTCAGGCCTGTGCACAGGCAGCCCATACAAGTGAAAGCAGACACAGCGGCTGCACAGACACAGTCGCATTTCAAAATTTGACACGCGGGCAGAAGCGGGTACATTGATTCCAACGCTGTCTGCTGCGTCTACATCCAATTCTACGGGCTGCCGGCATGCAGCTCCGAAGTGGATACAGCCTCAGCAAAAAGTGGCTCCGCACGGGGGGGGTGTCGGCACAGGGGGGGGGGGGTCTCTCCGCACGGGAAGGGGGGGGGGGGGGGGGTTGGTGTCTCTCCACACGGGGGGGGGGGGGGGTCTCCGCACCCATCTGCATGTGGGTGTATGTGTCAAAGTCCATGCCACAGTGGAACACCAATCCTCGTACAGAACCTCTGTGTGAGGTCCCGATCATACGGTCACTGATTGGCCAATCAGTGATCACATGAAGGGTAGTAAGCAAGATGTCATTTCTGGCGTCGTGGCTGGAAGGGGTGAAAGTGTCCGGAATGGAAAAGGGGGGGGGGGGGGGGGGGGGGGGTGGGGGGAGTGTCCGGACTGGAAGTGGTTAAGGACTGGTCCCCCGCTCCCCATTAAGGATCGGCACCTTTGTGGAGCAGCGGGGACTTGCCTTCCTCCAGAACCCTGGCTATTTCCGTGTGCCAGGTGTTCGTGATTGGCTGGCGTTGGAATGACATCATCCCGCACATGTGCACAAAAGTCTATCATTCCGGCACAGCTGAGCTGCACATGGGAGCTCGCTGTGCATCCAATAGAAGACAGCGAGCAGGCAGGCAGGTATGTGTTTCCTGCGGATGGAACATCGCGTGTCTCTTCTGCAATGAAGCGCTTCCTGCTCACAGGTTATTATTTACCTTTAGTTCCACTATAACCCAAGACGCCGAGCGCACGCAAATATACGGCCTTAGTGTCTGGGCCTGGACGCCGAGCGCACGCAAATATACGGCCTTAGTGTCTGGGCCCCTGGACGCCGAGCGCACGCAAATATACGGCCTTAGTGTCTGGGCCTGGACGCCGAGCGCAACACGCAAATATACGGCCTTAGTGTCTGGGCCTGGACGCCGAGCGCACGCAAATATACGGCCTTAGTGTCTGGGCCTGGACGCCGAGCGCACGCAAATATACGGCCTTAGTGTCTGGGCCTGGACGCCGAGCGCACGCAAATATACGGCCTTAGTGTCTGGGCCTGGACGCCGAGCGCACGCAAATATACGGCCTTAGTGTCTGGGCCTGGACGCCGAGCGCACGCAAATATACGGCCTTAGTGTCTGGGCCTGGACGCCGAGCGCACGCAAATATACGGCCTTAGTGTCTGGGCCTGGACGCCGAGCGCACGCAAATATACGGCCTTAGTGTCTGGGCCTGGACGCCGAGCGCACGCAAATATACGGCCTCAGTGTCTGGGCCTGGACGCCGAGCGCACGCAAATATACGGCCTTAGTGTCTGGGCCTGGACGCCGAGCGCACGCAAATATACGGCCTTAGTGTCTGGGCCTGGACGCCGGAGCGCACGCAAATAATACGGCCTTAGTGTCTGGGCCTGGACGCCGAGCGCACGCAAATATACGGCCTTAGTGTCTGGGCCTGGACGCCGAGCGCACGCAAATATACGGCCTTAGTGTCTGGGCCTGGACGCCGAGCGCACGCAAATATACGGCCTTAGTGTCTGGGCCTGGACGCCGAACGCACGCAAAAATACGGCCTTAGTGTCTGGGCCTGGACGCCGAGCGCACGCAAAAATACGGCCTTAGTGTCTGGGCCTGGACGCCCGAGCGCACGCAAAATATACGGCCTTAGTGTCTGGGCCTGGACGCCGAGCGCACGCAAATACACGGCCTTAGTGTCTGGGCCTGGACGCCGAGCGCACGCAAATACACGGCCTTAGTGTCTGGGCCTGGACGCCGAGCGCACGCAAATATACGGCCTTAGTGTCTGGGCCTGGACGCCGAGCGCACGCAGAAATACGGCCTTAGTGTCTGGGCCTGGACGCCGAGCGCACGCAAATATACGGCCTTAGTGTCTGGGCCTGGACGCCGAGCGCACGCAAATATACGGCCTTAGTGTCTGGGCCTGGACGCTGAGCGCACGCAAATATACGGCCTTAGTGTCTGGGCCTGGACGCCGAGCGCACGCAAATATACGGCCTTAGTGTCTGGGCCTGGACGCCGAGCGCAACGCAGAAATACGGCCTTAGTGTCTGGGCCTGGACGCCGAGCGCACGCAAATATACGGCCTTAGTGTCTGGGCCTGGACGCCGAGCAGCCGCATATTTGCGTGACATTAGAAAACACATATGTGCTGAGCGCGCGCCCTGCACTCTCCCAGCACATATGCCCGTGATCACGGAAAGCTCCTGGTCTCCCCCTTGCGATCGGGACCTTTTCTGATCATGTGACCAACGTGACAGCGAATCACATGACCCTAAAACCCCGCCCGCCTCCCGACTTCTGAAACTCTTGAAGGGTCAGGAGGCGTAAGCCGGTGCAAAGGGGTTAAGCATCAATCTGCTGAACACATCAGACAAGACGCATGTGGCGTGTCTGCCGTACCTTGCACTGTATGCATGGATCCTGGTCGTGTTGGAACTCCGGAGCGGTAGGGAAAAATACTCCTTCAGCTTGTGCCAGGCTGTGTCTGATATCAGCCGTCTCTCCCCCTCCGACAAGCACAGTCCTCCTGGTGTTCAGAAAGACGGAGAAATGACCACAGCAGACACCCAGACACACATATTTACACATGCTGTAGGGGGCGCTCCCACAACCTACCATGCTGGCAGACTAGATCTTCATTGAAGGCCACTTCTGCGTCGTCCTCCCTCTTCTTCTCCTCCAGGATTTCCTCTGTATGATACAAGGAGGCTGTAATGAGATCTGTCCGGCCAGCTCAGGCGTCCCCCCCTCACACGTACAGAGATTTACCTTTCTTGGGAGTGTTCCCATTCACTTTCAGATCTCCCGGATCGAAACTCGTCTTCATGCTGACCGAGCTGCTCTGTTGCTAGCTGCCTCCAGCGTCGCAATGACCCTTTCCCGATCCAATAGCCTTCATCACTGGAGAAGAGGAGGCAAGAAGCCGGCTTTAGGTTCTCCTGTCTCTGTGAGGGATATTCCATATATGCATTTTCTGCTATGGGGCAGCATGCTGCGCTGAACGGCCAGCTACCTCGTGGGCTCAGAGAGTCCTGAAGGACAATTCTCACTGGAGTCCTGAAGGACAATTCTCACTGGAGTCCTGAAGGACAAATCTCACTGGAGTCCTGAAGGACAATTCTCACTGGAGTCCTGAAGGACAATTCTCACTGGAGTCCTGAAGGACAATTCTCACTGGAGTCCTGAAGGACAAATCTCACTGGAGTCCTGAAGGACAATTCTCACTGGAGTCCTTCTCACTGGAGTCCCTGACAATTCTCACTGGAGTCCTGAAGGACAATTCTCACTGGAAATATATGTTGTGTTCCTCCAGCCCCCAGGAATGAGCGCAGGTTGCAGTCTGGAGTGTTTTCATAGCTGCTGTGAACATGGAGATACCCCAGACCTGTCCTCCATCTTTCAGGACGTCTCATACATGAAGCTCAGTGCTGCCTCCTCGTTACCCCCCCCCACCCCGGACCTGTCCTCCATCTTTCAGGACGTCTCATACATGAAGCTGTGTGCTGCCTCCTCATTACCCCCCACCCCGGACCTGTCCTCCATCTTTCAGGACGTCTCATACATGATGTGTGCTGCCCTCCTCGTACCCACCCCCCCCACCCGGACCTGTCCTCCATCCTTCAGCCTCATCATGAAGCTCGTTGCCTCCCGTTACCCCCACCCCACCCCGGACCTGTCCTCCATCTTTCAGGACGTCTCATACATGAAGCTCAGCGCTGCCCTCCTCGTTGCCTTCCTCGTTAACCCCCCCCCCCCCCCCCACCCTGGACCTGTCCTCCATCTTCAGGACGTCTCATACATGAAGCTCAGTGCTGCCTCCTCGTTACCCCCCACCCCGGACCTGTCCTCCATCTTTCAGGACGTCTCATACATGAAGCCCCTGCCCCCCTCAGTTAACCCCCCGCCACCCTGGACCTACCCCCTGTCCTTTCAGGACGTTACCCCCCCCCCCCCCCCCCCCCCGTCCACCCCGGTCCTGTCCTCCATCTTGCTCGGTGCGATTGCCTCTCCTACTTACCCGTTTACTGTAACCTTCACCAAGTTTTTTTGCGATGCTTTTGTGATCCTCATTTAACTGATTCTTCAGACGTAAACACTCGGCACCGTTCCACCACACAGTCCTCACACAGAGAATCCGCTGCAAGGACACAACAGGGACAACGTGACCGGCGGGAGGACAACACATGGGAATACTACACTAGGTGACCTGGTATATAAAGGTTATGCAGACAGACTCTCCCTCCTTATACAGGGTGTGAGGGAGCTGTACAGTACAGGAGACTGCTAGAGACTGGAACGTCCCACATACCCCCCATATACCCCCCAATACAACCCCCCCCCCCCCATCATAAGGCCCTCAGGAGCCAACATCACCAATTCCTATTGCTGCAGCTCCTCGCTCTCCCGGCCTACAGTGTTTCATATCCTATGGAGGTCCTCTGAAAAGCGTTCGTGAATCGGTCCAGGACCACAGGGGGCGGCCTGGTTGGTGTACGAACAGCCATTGTCTTCTACATCTCGCCGGAGAGAATTACAGGCTGAAAGCCCCCAGCGACCTGCGGCAGCACAGCCAGCGTCAGTATCTGAACCTCCGTGACCTAACCCATCATGTTTAGGCTTTTAAATACCCGTTTCAATACCGTGCAATTTTACACCTTCCTGCCCAGGCCAGTTTTCAGCGCTCTCACACTTTGAATGAAAATTGCGCGTCATACAACATTGTACCCAAACTAAAATTTTATCATTTTCTTCACACAACTAGAGCTTTCTTTTGGTGGTATTTAATCACCGCCGGGGTTTTTATTTTTGCTAAATTAACAAAAAAAAGACCAAAAATTTTGAAAAAAAAAACACATTTTTCTTTGTTTCTGTTATAAAAAGTTTACAAAATAAATAATTGTTCTTCATAAATTTAGGCCGAGATGTATTCTGCTCCATGTCTTTGGTGACAACAACCCAAATAGGATGTATTATTTAGTTTGTAGGAAAGTTATAGAGTTCACAAACTATGTTATAGATCTGAATATTGATCAATCCTGAAGTACTGACAGCCAATCTAATTTCTTGAGGTCCAAGAATGTCAGAACAGTACAGATATCCCCCAAATGTCAGGACAGTACAGATATCCCCCAAATGTCAGGACAGTACAGATATCCCCCAAATGTCAGAACAGTACAGATATCCCCCAAATGTCAGGACAGTACAGATATCCCCCAAATGTCAGGACAGTACAGATATCCCCCAAATGTCAGGACAGTACAGATATCCCCCAAATGTCAAGACAGGACAGATATCCCCCAAATGTCAGGACGGTACAGATATCCCCCAAATGTCAGGACAGTACAGATATCCCCCAAATGTCAGGACGGTACAGATATCCCCCAAATGTCAGGACGGTACAGATATCCCCCAAATGTCAGGACGGTACAGATATCCCCCAAATGTCAGTCAGGACGGTACAACGATATCCCCCAAATGTCAGGACGGTACAGATATCCCCCAAATGTCAGGACGGTACAGATATCCCCCAAATGTCAGGACGGTACAGATATCCCCCAAATGTCAGGACGGTACAGATATCCCCCAAATGTCAGGACAGTACAGATATCCCCCAAAAAAAACAGACCCAAGTACAGTCCAGGACAGTACAGATATCCCCCAAATGTCAGGACAGTACAGATATCCCCCAAATGTCAGAACAGTACAGATATCCCCCAAATGTCAGAATAGTACAGATATCCCCCAAATGTCAGGAACAGTACAGATATCCCCCAAATGTCAGGACAGTACAGATATCCCCCAAATGTCAGGACGGTACAGATATCCCCCCCCCAAATGTCAGGACGGGACAGATATCCCCCAAATGTCAGGACAGTTACAGATATCCCCCAAATGTCAGAACAGTACAGATATCCCCCAAAATGTCAGCACAGTACAGATATCCCCCAAATGTCAGCACAGTACAGATATCCCCCAAATGTCAGGACTGATCAAATGTCAGGACGGTACAGATATCCCCAAATGTCAGGACGGTACAGATATCCCCCAAAATGTCAGGACGGTACAGATATCCCCCAAATGTCAGGACGGTACAGATATCCCCCAAATGTCAGGACGGTACAGATATCCCCCAAATGTCAGGACGGTACAGATATCCCCCAAATGTCAGGACGGTACAGATATCCCCCAAATGTCAGGACGGTCACAGTACAGATATCCCCCAAAATGTCAGGACGGTACAGATATCCCCAAATGTCAGGACAGTACAGATATCCCCCAAATGTCAAACGGTACAGATATCCCCCAAATGTCAGGACAGTACAGATATCCCCCAAATGTCAGAATAGTACAGATATCCCCCAAATGACCCCCTTTTTGCAGAGCAGACAGTCCGACGTACTTCATAAGAGGCATGGCGAGTTTTTTTGAAGTTGTATTTTTTTGTCATAATTTTTCGGAAAATGAAAAAAATAAAAAAAATTATTTTCACTATTTTTTTTTTTAACATACTGTCCCCAGTGCAGTACAGCGTCATCATATAACTGGCATGGCGGTGAACAGGGACACTGACTGGTGACAGTATGAAAAAATATATATATATATATATTTTTTTTTTTATTTTATTTTATTATATTTAATTTTTTATTACATTTTTTTTATTTTTTTAAAGATTTTTTTTTTCATATTTTACTATGACCAAAGTAGTACAATGTTACCATAGTAACACTGTACTACTTTGGGGAAGTGATCAGTATTTTTTTTTTTTTTTTTTTTTTTACACAATTTGCTTATAGCAAACAATTACTTTGCTATCAGCAAGCATTTACCTGAATGACATCGATTCATTCAGCTTTTTTTTTTTTTTTTTTTTTTGCTTAGCTGTGATTTGGTCACAGCTAATCACATGACATGTGCATGTGATTATCTGTGACCATTCACAGCTAGGCACTAGTATACAATGGATGGCATCATGAATGAAGCCATCCATTGTATACAACTGTCATGTGACCTGCTGTGATTGGTCACAGCAGGTCACATGGTACCGGCAACGGGAGCCGGTACTCGGATCTGTCATCGGCCGTGTCCGAGGTGCATGGCCGGTGACAGATCACACTGCTGCGTCGCTCTGCAACCGCGCAAACCGCGCATGTGCGGGAGCACGCCAAATGGCGTGCACCCAGAAAGCTGCAGCGCTTTTCAAGCCGCCAAACGGCCATTGGCCGGGCGGCTAATGGTTAAAGTGGTATTACCCCTCGCCCTCCAGAGGATTCCCCCCCTTGCCCTCCAGAGGATTCCCCCCCCCCGGCCCTCCTTGCCCTCCAGAGGATTTCCCCCTTCTCGCCCTCCAGAGGATTCCCCCCCCCCCCTTGCCTCCAGAGGATTCCCCCCCCCCCATTCCCTCCCCCTCCCCCCCCTCCCTCCAGAGGATTCCCCCCCCCCCCTTGCCCTCCAGAGGATTTCCCCCCCCTCCCCTCCAGAGGATTCCCCCCCCCCTCGCCCTCCAGAGGATTTCCCCCCCCTCCCTCGCCCTCCAGAGGATTTCCCCCCCCTCCCCCCGCCCCTCCCCCTCCAGAGGATTCCCCCCCCCCACCCCCCCCCCCCCCCCCCCCCCCCCCCCCCCCCCCCCCCCCCCCCTTGCCCTCCAGAGGATTTCCCCCCCCTCGCCCTCCAGAGGAGTACCCCCCCCCCCCC